TGAATTTTGTTTCCAACCAACCTGAAGTGAGGGAGGTGGTAAGAGGCTAACTGAGGCCAAGACCGTTAAAGACTATGGGTCTTTTGTGACCACGGGTCCTGAAGTTTTCCAGACTATAGAGCAAATCAAAATATTGTAATTCACTGAACGATTCAAAATAATTTCAGACACAAGACTAAGACTTGTCCTTGCAGGTTAGCACACTCATTGTCCATGGGCCTTGGCGCAGGGACACTGAGTGTGCTCACGGTGCCCGGCTTCGTCGCTCGTGCGACTCGTGAGTGACGCTCAAACGCAGCCATTTTTTCTGTCCATCGAATGATGGCCTGCCGGGTCCCTAGTCATGACTCTTCAGAGTCAAAGGACACATCGTTCAATGTCCCTAGTCGTGAAACTAATCCTTCAGCAAGAGGGCAGCACAATTTCTTTTGAACACTCATGATTTCACATACTATATCATACTAATGCTTGATTATACAGAATTCCATTGTTTGTGGGACTATGAAACATTATGAAACACAAGTCGGCTAGGTTTAGCGAACGTTCGATTTCAGACCCAACTTGCTGGAAAGATTTCACACCAAGCGAAGTACTTTATTCTGACTCATAGAAAGGGATGTAGACCCCTTCAAGAAATATAGCGGCTTGCCTCAGCTTCATATGGTTGTGACACTGATCTTAAACAGTGGGCTATTCATTAGTCCGTTTGGGCGTATGCAACTGTGATGTTTTTTGAGTCTGCACATTGATCTGATGCGCATCAAGACACGCGGGCTGATCTCCTTAATGCAGAGATCTGCAAACAAGAGAGAGAGAGAGATATTATATAAAAAACACTTGCACTGAAGAACGTACAGTAATTCATTCTGAGCAGCGTTGGACTCTTTCATATATGCGACCCGCCAGCACACCATAAGCATCCCAGAATTCAGCAAAGCCTTCTCTGTGAAAACCGAAGCTGAGAATGAACACATCGAAAGCAGAATTCAGCAAAGCCTTCTCAGTGAAAAACCGAAGCTGAGAATGAACACATCGAAAGAATCGAAAGCATTGCAAGAGCCTCTGCAGGGACAGAAGATGCCACAGAAGACCACTTGCAGAGGTTCATCTGCGATGGTGCGGACCACTGCAAACAACACTGCTGCGGCTTTGGGCGGATCTCGAACGTGTCTTCGCCTCAAGGATACGCAAAGAAGATCAAACAAGAGACAACCGACAATCTGTTGATTGATTGTTGATGATTGCAATTTCGCTTTAAAGCTTCAAACTCCGGAAGGTCTAAGACCTAAGAAAAGCACCATCGTCACCGTCTTTGTTCTGCCTCTTCAGCTCATGGGAGTTGATGGTGAAATCTATGACCGCTTCCAGCCTTGAGTCTCCGTGGGGTGCTTCTCCAATCTCACCACCTGACCACATATCCCCGCAGTTGCAAGTTTTAGATTGCTTTTTGGGCGCATTGTTTTGGGATCTTTCTGAAACATGAAAACACCGCTGCATGGGTGTGGAACTGGGCTTGGACTCCATAGTCTATAGTCGGTGAAACAAGTTACAAAGGGCTGTGCAAACTGCTTGCCTGGAGAGGAAGCTTGCTGACATCCACATCGTCCAATTTGGGAGCTTCGGAGTTGTAAACGGGCGCTTTGTTCCCCATGCAGTGGTTGCCCTTCTTCCAATCCTGGACACTTTGTTGAAAGATGTCTTCAGAAACGGATTAGATTCTTATGGCATGTCACGTTCTATATTGTTTTGACTGGATATCGTGACAGCAATCTCACAAATTGATTTGGATGATGTCCTGCATCATCTGAAGGGCAAAGCTTCTCTCACAGTAGGAGACCACTGTCAGATTCTTCGACAGGGACAGAGTTGGCATGATGGTGGCATTTCCGCTCTTCTTCAACCATTTCAAGGCAACCCCTTCAAGCCAGGAATCATATGGACTGAAGTTGACAACCCCGACACATCCTGACAGTTTCGTTTTGGCAAGGAGGGAATTGAGCACTTGTTCTGGTAAATGGTCCCCTGCCAAAAATTGCGAGCTCTCCTGGGATGCAGAGAGTGACCTGTCGCAGGGCAACGTCTTGAGGAGAATATCACCACGATGACGGTAAACCATGTTTTGTTAAGTATGAGAAATTATGAGAACCATGTAGATTTGAGCGGTTCTAGATTCCAGCGGGGCCTGACGTCGGCTGAGCATCTTTTGCTGGCGCAGGAACCACATAGGTGCTCTCTGGAGCCCATGGGAGGCTCACCCGAGTGCACCTGTCAGGGTCAGGGGTTGCTCCGTGGGATAGTAGAATAAGGCACCATTTAAAATTAAGACCTGACATTCAAACCCTGACAGAATTCTTTCCCGTCAGTTGCAATCATTCTTTGATAATAAACTGTTTCAAAAACACTGCCTGTCCAACAGAAGCTGACACGACGCAAAGGCATTTGTGGTCCTGCACCCATCCAGCGTTGCCACCCAAGCTGGAAATTGCAACGGCACTTTCTTTTGGCCAGGTGGTTCTGCCATACGAAGTGTCACCAGGTCGGAGTAGATTCCAAGGGCATCCAACTTGTCCTCAATGCGCCTCATAGGGATGAAACTTGTTTCTCACCTGTGTTGAGCCCCCAGAACAAGAATCAAACCAAAGAGTGTTGGCTACCAACATCTTTATTCTGTGTTACCGCTCCTGATCTCACCGCGGATGCCGTTCTGCACCTTCTCAGATATCAAATGCGGGCACACTATGAAAGCGCAGGACCGCTCGGGGTGCTTGGAGAGGGTGGTTGCAACAAGGTCCAAGGTCTCATTGATGTCTGTGTTTGAGAGCTTCCCAAACTTGGTGTAATCCAACCAAGCAATGATTCCGCCAGACTTAAAGCGCTCGAGCTTGTTCAAAGCACCAACAAACTTCAGGGCCGGGCCAAGGCAGTCCATGACTGAAACACGTTTCAATAATAAGTCACCTACTATGCCAACCTCATGCTTGCTGATAACCTGTTGTTTGCCAGAGGTGTCTAACTAGATTGACCGGGGCGGGGGTTTCAAGATACTTGCCTCGTCCAAAGCAGCCTCCAGCTCCCCAGCCCGGCCAGCTACATGCCTTGCGTTGTGAGAGATGAAGTCCCGAATGAAGTTGGCACCGATAGTGTTCTGATTTTTGAGGTGGGTCACACGCTGAAGCCGGAGTGCTCTCTCGTGTTGCGCTTCGCTTTTGTAAAGCAGCCCAAGCTGGGCACAGTCTCTCGTCAGTTTCAAGCAGTCTTGACGAAAGGCGCTTTCTTTGGCTGAGTGGTCAAGCTTGTTGATCTCTTCATCCACGGCTTGAAAGCTTGACTCCACCGGGGCAGCTTTCGCCTCGACATTCTCTGTCCACAAATCAAGTTGGTGCGGCATGAAGCTGGGGTCTTTCAGCACCAACACTTCCGTCAGCTCGGCGGTAAAGTCCCTCCAATGTTGCAAACAAATAGAAAAGCCTATTAGTCCATATTAGTCCATGGGATCAACTTCACATTAAGTTTTGAAAGCTTCGTGTCAAGATCCTCCATAACCCAAAAGACACCCTTCTTTCACAAGACATGCCAGATCCACCCATCCACGGCCATCTTTATGATTTTGGTGATGGTATCATCGGCAAACAACTGGTCCCCGTCATGATGGCGAGACAAGCGCATTTCGTTTACAATGTATTCCATCAAGCACATACGGTCCTTGGTACTCAATGCAGCATCACTTGGTTCAAGATCTTCAAATAACAAACCCAAAATCAGACCAGTGAGTGCGTGTTGAATTCAATGGCTGAACACTGGATGTGTTTTTCCTTTATG